CAGAAAACAACAGGCCAATCAGAAGAGATGCTCATGAATATTAATTAGACAGGCCAAAATCAACCTGTTCTCAGCAGAGCTCCTGAGAGAGGAGCTGTAAAAATATATTGAGATGGTTTTTGGTACTTATAACACAAATATATATTCTTAAGGACATCAAAACCTAAAATAAAACTCCAGAAAGGTGTAAAATATGGGACCTTTAAGAGAGCAAAATAACAGAATGTACTGTAAGGTGCAGGAACAACTGAAAAAAAAAAAACTGACAATAAAATAAATAAATAAATAGTGGTAAAAAACAAAAAAGAAGACAAGGAGATGTTCTTTTAAGCCATTTTTGTGCAAAACCAAATATGGAAAGTTCACCATTGTGAGGCAGAGTGATGCAATGTTCAACATATTCTGTACATCACAATGTGCTAATAATGTTCTTACATTGTGAACAGGCATTCAATTTTTATACACAGCTTGGCTGAAAAATATCCCACAATCACTACATAATTTCAATTAAGATGACAAGCCGAGATTCTCCACAGCTGTCTTTACTGTGGTCAGAATGTTCTAGATGTTATCATATTCTCTACCATATTTTCTGGAAGTGAACAAAAGGAGTGTGAAGTAGAAGCAATACTTGCTGAACTTAAGTGCACTTGCAAACTAAGCCTGAATCTAACATCCTGAAAGTAATCAATAAAACCACCCACACACATAACACTACAACATGGATTTCTGCCATAGACTGAATTCTTTTACATTCTTTGATCAGAATAAAGGGTTCTGAAAAAAGTTATATAAAAGGTATAAGTAAACTGTTGAGCTTACTTGTAAGTTAATTAAACTCCACCGACAGTGGAGCATTGCTTGGGATTCACTACGCAGGCTGCATGCGAACCTGTATCTTGCATTGTCACCATGGCACAATGTGTCTGGAACACATTCTAAACCTTGCTTTAACAAACACACACACACACACACACACACTTACCGGCAGCCAAGGGTGGTCTGCAGCAGGGTGGTGATGCCCACACAAAAGAAAATGGTGCCAATCAGCTGACTGGTTGCCCATTGGTCAAATCCCACACACATGGCTTCAGCAAGCAGGAAGGGCACAGCGATAGTTCCACTGAAGCAGGTAAGATAGTGCTAAAGGAAGAATGGTGTGGAAAGAAAAAAAATACCAGTAATTTTATCTCGGTTATCTCTGTAAAGGAGAACATCAAATCGCTAGTCTGCTTCAATGTCAAGGGTCACTGCTGTAAATTATAGGGCCATTGCTTCAAGTTGAGTGTCAGTGCTTTGAAATGGTCACCCTCAACTTTCAGCAGTGAAACTAGACTTTAAAGTTGAGGCTCATTGCTTTAAAATCCAAGATTAACTGCTGTGAAGTTGAGGGTCACTGCTATAAGACTGAATGTTACTGCTCTAAAGTTAAGCACCCTGCTTCCAAATTCAAGGTTTCACTGCTTCAAACTTGATAGTCAATGCTGTAAAGATGAGTGTCACTGCTGTAAAGTCTAGATTTCTAAGTCTAGGATTCATTGATTTAAAGTCAAGGGTCACTGCTGTAAAGTTGAGTGTTACTGCTTCCAAGTCAAGGTTTAACTGCTGTAAAGTTAAGGGCCACTGCTTCATACTCGATGTCCAATGCTGTAAAGATAAGTGTCACTACTGTAAAGTTCAGGGTCACTGCTGTAAAGTTTAGTTTCACTGCTGAAAGTTTAGAGTTCATTGCTGTAAAGTTGGAGGCCACTGCTTCAAACTCAGTGGCCACTTGTTCTAACTCAGAGGTCACTGCTGTAAAGGTGAGGGTTACTGCTTCAAACTCGAGCATTACTGCTGTAAATTCTAGATCTAGTCACTGCTATAAACCCTTAGTTGAGTCATTGTTGGTATATGAATATCTTAAACATCTGGGGCACATCACACTACACTTGAATGCTCAAGCCAGTATGTCAACATGTGGCTGTGCATGTGTTTGTACCTGTAAACCTAGGAACACACACAGGTACCAAGGTGGTGTGTCCTCTATGGTGTATATCATGTCCATTCTCCTTGCGTCTATGCTGTCTGTACTGTCCACAGTCTCTGATATGGAGCACTGAATGGGAGAGGAAACAAGACACATGGGATTCAGGCTCTGGGCTGTTCCTATGGTAACCAATCTCTATTACAGAGAAGCTGAGTGAGAGCTATACGCTATAAACAGCATCAGCACACAAACACGCACACACACAGCAAAACTGCTGGCAATTCAAACGGCATCAGCAGGAAATCAGTTCCTCTATATGCAATTATCCTGAAATGAACTCAAACTGCTAAATAAACTCAAAATTGATAGAAGACATTACTATCAGAGTTATTCTGTTACATCTTAAATATGTTGTAATGGAAAATACATACTTGTTTTAACAATTCGACTAATTAAAACAGTGCAAAGATACACTACAGCCATAAAAGTCTTGTCTATGTTTTTCAAAGTTTTATTCTGAGACGCAACAGTTATTTGTTACAATTCAACTACCAGTTAAATAATTCTAATTTCTGACAAATATTAGTGAGAACACAGAACCAGAGAGACAGACTAAAAAATGAACCCCAATGTGTTGCATTAGCATTGCTGTATTAGAGGCGAACACTGAGGAAATTCCACTGGTTGTTGTGACCTCCCAAATCCCGTTCCCTCTGTGGGGGAAAAGTGTAGAGTCATAATGACTGAGCCATTACAGAACAGGGCTTAACATGGATAAGCATGACTGGTACGAGCAGCCCCTTGATTTAAAGGCGAAGCATGTAATTTCTAACAGTACTAAAAGAGTTACAAAAAACTCACTTTGTCCTCAGTCTGGCTGTCTTTTGCATAAATGGCCATGAGTTGCGTGTCCTCTGCGTCCTGATCTCCGGGGGTCTGCACGACACCATTAACCACCTGTCAAATACACAGAAATGTGCAAACATCACATATTTACAAGTAACAAAATAAAAAAACAGGTGACACTACTTGCAAACCCGTCTACTGTCATGACAAAGGATAAAAGTGAATGCGGGCATCTTGGCAAGAAATCAAACATTATGTAGGTGAGTTTGGCACAGCTTCCAGAAGCTTTGCTTTGGTTCTATTTGCCAAATTCAAATGCCAGGGTTTCAGTGACAAGCGCATAGTTTTACCTTACATCATGATATTACATCCCCTCACTGGCAAAACATATCAGTCCACTAAAGTTCACCAGGGCTCTCAGAGACAGGGTTATGAGGATACAGTAAGTGACCACACTCATGTAGGGAAGAGTTCACCAAAACAAGGATTACACGAGGATTAGCTCTAAAGTAGTGGAGTTTTTGGTGGTTTCTAAATACATCATACTAGACAGAAGATTTAGATGGCTGCAAAACGGTCTTTCAAACAACCTCAAACAATTATTATATACAGAAATGACTCAGCAAGGGGACTAGAAAAGAATTGATTCATCATCAATTTAAAAAGAATGATATAATACACATAAATGTTACAAGACATGGTTTGTTAAGTAATTGCATTTAAGGGAGTGTTAGGCATGACTAAGGAAAACTTGAGTCTTGACACTTTTTAAATGAGTGAACAGATAAAGCTACATAGAGCAGACCATAATGAACTGACTGATAAAGGGTCACTTCTGTGAAAAAAAGACACTTTAAAAAGATAATTTCTAACAGCATGTCTCTAATCTCTTGACATGCTTTATTTAAATATGCATGCTTAGCAACAAAAACACTATCAAAAATCAGCAGCTGCTTATAGGTTGATCGGTTTGTTTCATCTTTAGAAAAACCTTTCCTGCAGTGGTGAGATAATGCAAACACGAGGTGCTCATGTTACAAACACAAACAAACTGTATAATTAAATTAGTAATGTTTTACAATATATTATTTGTTAAAATTGGGTAGAATTATTTAAGCATTTGTTAATGGTAATGTTTATAACATTTACAATGTTAATTTATAAAGCGATTATTCTTTGCTGTTAGTTCATAATAGATTAATTAATGTAATTTTATAATACAACTTGAAATGTTGCAGTATTAAAAATGTATTATGATAAAATGGATAGTTCCAAGGCTCACCAAGCCTGCATTTATTTGATCAAAATACAGTAAAAACAGTAATATTGCATACAACTACAATAACTGTTTTCTATAAGAATTATTTTTCCTGTGATGGTAAATCTGATTTTTCAGAAGCCATTACTCCAGTCTATACGGTCACATGATCCTTCAGAAATCCTTCTAATATGCTGCTCAAGAAACATTTCATATTATTAACAATGTTGAAAACAGATGTGCTGCTTACTGTTTTTGTGGAAACTGAGACACTTTCTTTAGAACTCTTTGATCAAAAGAACAGCATTTATTTATACCATCATAAATGTCTTTCCTGTTACTTTTGATCAATGTAATGTATCCTTGCTGCAATAAACCCTAAACATTTGAAAAGTAGTGCATTTACAACCCTACTGTGAAGTGTCACCATTATATTTATGACTTGAGTGTGTATCTTCAAAAGAAACCTTATGCATACCATGACTATAAATAAGTTGTTTGTCATTCCTTGTAGCTTACGGAGACTTGAAACAGAAAATTCTGAAAATTCAGCTTTTAAATGGCACATATTTAAAGTAGCTATTTACACACCACACTGTCCTGCTTAAAGTACATGTGACCACAGTGTCCTGTAGAGTCACTGTAATAACAGGCTAGAAGGCATTGTTTCTGACCCTATGATTAGCATCATTCTACACAGACAAACACACACTCACTGGGATGGGATAGGAGTGTGCACTGTGTTTGTTCTCCTCTTCATATTTGCCAGGCTCTGCGGCGGAGTCCATGGATTTGGAGGTGGTGTTTTTACCAACACCCATTCCTCCCCTTTGCTCCTCTGCCTCTTCCTCCTCTCCCTCTGGATCTGTTCCTCTCCTCCACTCCCTCTCACGCTCTGGTAGAAACACTGCTGCTCTGGCTGTCAGCACACTCTCATGCTCCACTGATTGGCCAGCCAGGTCATCTGGGGTTAGAAAACAGAGCAATGTTATTCATGAATGAATAATGAAATGAAAGTGCTCATCTGAAGACTTCCTGTAATCATTCCACAAAATAAAATGATAATCCATATAGTCATAAACCAATATAATTACCTAAAAATCATCCCTTCGTTTTTTGTTAAATAAAAACGGAGTACTTCACACTCATTTTATGGAGGCAAAGGCAGAATGAACGGATTAATAAGTTATGCAATGAAATGGAAACTTAAAGCAAATCCAGATCTGAGACCATTAATTAAATGAATAACGGTGTATAAAAATCACATCCCACACTTTACAGTGTGGTTTTGGACTCAAACGACCACTTACATAACAATGATGCGTGATCAAACATCTACATTTATGGACACAAGCAAAAGAGTATTTTTTTTTTAAATGTGGCGAGGTAAAAAATAATAAAGTTTAAGGAGATGAAAAAAGAAAGTTGGAGGACAGAGAAATGAGGGGGAAATAGGATGATGAAGATAGGATAGGTGAGAAGCGAAAGAAAGACAGCGAGTGACTGGTGAAGGTCAGAATGCTTTATCAGTGGACACTGATGATTTTGGTAACCATCAAGTCCTGTTTACTTTTCTTGTGGCCTCGGGCCAGCACCCTCCCTATTAATGACAATGATTAGATGCGTCAGTGCACCACCAATGGCTGCATCCCCCTAATATCTCCCATGATCCTGCAGCAGCCTTGAACTCCAGGACAATCACATCTGCTTGGTATCTAAAAGCCATCTGGGTCCACAAAACCCCCCTAAGTGCTGCACATGCCGTGCCAGACTCCTACACGTGTCCAAACTAGCCACAGTCACAAAACATCAAGATATTTTGACATTGACTTGGTTGACTTGGATGTAGATCAGATATTTAGTAGAATGTTAATAGATTATTAGATTATATTAGATTAGTATTATGATCAGTTATTATAGTTTTGTATCCAACATAGTTAGGATACGGTGATATATTACTTTTTTTTTAATTTCCTCATTCATTCATTCATTCATTCAACCACCATATAACCGGTCAGACATATTTTAAACACTTTTTAACGCTTGATTGTCAGGTTGCCTTCAATTCATTAAAACCAAAATGGAACTTTAATTTCATTCTCATAATTTAAAGGGATAGTTCACCCAAAAATGAAAATTCTGCCATTAATTACTCACCCTCATGTTGTTCCAAACCTAATGACAGCCAGACTCCTACACGTGTCCAAACTAGCCACAGTCACAAAACATCAAGATATTTTGACATTGACTTGGTTGACTTGGATGTAGATCAGATATTTAGTAGAATGTTAATAGATTATTAGATTATAATAGATTAGTATTATGATCAGTTATTATAGTTTTGTATCCAACATAGTTAGGATACGGTGATATATTACTTTTTTTTTAATTTCCTCATTCATTCATTCAACCACCATATAACCGGTCAGACATATTTTAAACACTTTTTAACGCTTGATTGTCAGGTTGCCTTCAATTCATTAAAACCAAAATGGAACTTTAATTTCATTCTCATAATTTAAAGGGATAGTTCACCCAAAAATGAAAATTCTGCCATTAATTACTCACCCTCATGTTGTTCCAAACCTAATGACAGCCGTCCATCTTCGGAACATAAATTAAGATATTTTTGATGGAATCGGAGAGCTCTCTGATCTCCCATAGACAGCAAGGGTCCTTACATGATCAACGTCCAGAAACATAGCAAGGAGATCGGTAAAATAATCAATGTGACATCAGGTGTTCAACTGTAATTTTACAAATCTACGAGAATACTTTTTGTGAGCAAAAAAAAAAAAAAACGACTTTATTCAACAATTCGTCTCCTCCGCGTCACCTTAACGCCATTTTGAAGAGTATCAACTGAACGTAAATTACGTATGCCGTTTTGTGTCAGCTGTGCCACGCGGAAATGTGGTTTTCGTTCAAATCAAAGCGTAAATGACGTAAACAGCGTATCCGCGTGGCACAGTGGGGTGAATAATGACAGAATTTTCATTTTTGGGGTAACTATTCCTTTAAAATCATAACATTGCCATTATGTCCAATATATGAAGATATTTTCTTGGAACAACCTTTTTTTTAATAATATGATCAATTGTGTCAGCGCCAATAGCCTCGTGGGCAGCAAGCCGACTTACAGCGCCGTTGAGCTTCGGGTATCCTGAGTTCGAGTTTCGCCTCGCGAACCTTTCCCAATCCCCCCCCGCCCCTCGCTCTCTCCCACTTCGCTTTCGGTCTAAATACTTAAAATGGCAAAAAATTAAATCTTTAAATTAATGGTCAATTGTGATCTCACATTTACTATCATTTTAGATATTGCCTTAAAGAGTTGCTGTTGTCTTAAATTCTGTGTAAAGTAATATTAAATGTGTTCCGAGTTTGTCACACCACAGATAAATGTGTTATTAACCAACCAGCCAAATTATAAAATAGCCAAGTAAATAAAATAAGTTATTAAAATCTTGAAAAAATACACGCCTAAAACGCTGGGGGCGTGTCCGGTGTCTGCACTGAAACCACACCCACTGACAGGAAAGCTGCCACCTCTCTCAACTGTTAAATACCGCTACAACCTGAACCAACCAGGTAATATGCATTTACGTGACCAAGGCATTGCTAACTAGCAAACTGTAGGCAGTAGTAAATAACGGTAAAGACAGTAACTCGCGATCGAGCGGGCAAACCACTGATGCTAATGCGCTCCAGTTATTATAGTGTTAGGGACAAAAAAAATGGTGAAAAACTGTTTAATGGTCTAAAGCCACAATTTCACAGTCTTTGTAATGTGTTTTCAGCAATATATTTCTAACATTCAAAATGGGTTTAGAAACGATTCTTTGAATTGCCTTTACACAGATTTTAAATCAAACGTATTATTTACATTTAACTGAGCAAGTAGAGTTGATAATAGATATCTCTGTGACATTCTATTGATTTTTATTTGGAAATCAGGTGTCCTAGTGCAGCTGGGGACAGTAAAGAAATGAGTACCTAGTTCACACATCACTCCCACCAATCAGGTCGGCCGGAAGCATCTGTGTGGGAGGGGTTAAACTGGGAGAAGAGAAGGATAGAGAGAGGGTGGAAAAGAGAAAGATAGAAGAAAAGAGGTAGGGAAATGGAAAAGGAATGAGGTTTGACAAAAAGAAAGATAGAGGAGACGGGCATTAATTAGCAGCCAAAATACAAATCACAAGCCATTTTGCCACAAACATTTCTATTTGATTATTCAAAGTATGTTGTTTAATTAGCATGCTGATATTTTGAACGTGCTTGCCTATAAGCAAAGCTTAAACAAATATCATCAGTTTAAAACAAGTTAAGCTCTACCAACAACATTTTTAGCATGCAGTTGATTGCCACAGACAATTATTTGTACTCATCCTTGTACTCGTTTAAACCGGGCTTGAATTTTGGTGCAGGGTTGCGGGTATTTCCCATAATTTTACTAATTCTCATAGACTATGAAATCAAATTATTATTCTGAAAACTTTCACAGACAGAATCAGTGATTCATCACTACCACGTCTTCCCTTTTCACGAGAACTCGATTAGTATGGAGGACCTGAATCAGCTGCGAAATCTGTGTGGGAATTTTTTTTTTGTCTCTCAAAATATTCCTAAACTGATTGGAGTTTGTGCGCAAGATTTGCTGAATAACAACAGTAAATGTTACTGCACATGAAGACCCAATCTCAAACAGCAACTTATGGACCTCCTCATGCAAATCTACTCTTTGCCACATGGAGTTATGGGTAAAATCATGTCCTCTGCACAGTTGTTGTGAAGTAGAAGCTTGGGCATCCTTCTGAAACTGAAAGTGACTAAATATATGACTACAACTAAATGGGATCTTGTCTGAATGCTGCACCAAATGATCTGGCAGATAAATGTTGAGACATTCATTTAAATAAATAAACTCTGAATATATGAATATACAGCTCTCTGCTTGCAGCGCGTCAGTCACGCTTGTCAAGATAGTGAGTGAAACACACACACACACACATTTTTTTCAAATAATACGTCATTAATAGCGGTTCACTTCTGCGATTTGGTACGAATGCGTTTCCATCAGCAGCGAACCGTACCAGAGTTCACTTGAACCGTACCCCAGACCACCCTTTTTAAGCGGACCCGGGTACGGTTCGCGGATGCGCACTCGAGTTCGGAAGACAGCGTTCACATCATCCAAACGTACCGAACTCTGACGTCAATCGAACCCGGGTGTGCACCAAAAGTGCTAGTGTGAAAGCACCCTTAGTCTGACTTCTTTTTTCAGTTGATTTGGTTCAAAATAAGTCAGACTAACTGATATAAGCCTGGCTTATTTGGTAAACTAGTTTTATGAAACAATCAGTCCAGAGACTTGATTGAACTATCTAGTTCTCTGTCATTAGCTTGTTTAGAGGAACTTGTCACCCGTGACAAACAAAACTTTTATCAGATTTTACTCACATTTTCAAACTCCGCATTTATACATTCCCAAACTTCCTCTTAAGTCTTGCTAAGATCATGCTGAATAATGTGACTTACTCTTCCCTGAGTCAAAGGTTTTAAAATTAGGGTCCAAGAAGCCCCACAAGTGTCCACAAGATGGTGCTACAGAGAAAATAAAAATCTTACAACACATATTTTAACAGCAAGAAATATGATGTGCAAGGTACATATAAATAGTCAATATACACTTTGCATCTTTCAAGGGAATTGTTATCGCTACTGTTGTCCTTAACTCACTCACTGGTTTTCTGGCACTATTGTCAGCTTTCGGTTTTTAATATTTATTGGGAAAATTGCTGTAGAACTAATTCTGGCTTCAACCGGAAATGTTTCTGTAATATTATAATATCAGATAGAAAAAAAACATTTTGTACTAAAAATATAACTGTACCTTAACATAATATAACAAAATATTCTTCAAATAATATTTGAATAATCTGTTCTGTTTTGGCTTTATTGTAATATTGTATATTGTTCATAAGTAAAACAAGAAACTATTTATACAATAACATTCAACAAAGAACATTAAAACAATTTTTTTCGTTCACATTCACTAATTTCAGTGTTGTTACAGTTAACTAAAACAGACTATTAAAATAGTTATCGGTAATTAAAATAAAGGTTAAATAGAATACAATATAAATATTAGACGAAAACTTAAATTATTAAATGGTGCAAAACAAACTGAAATCAGCAGAAGTAGGCTAGTTAAATTATGAAAAAAAATATGAATGACAAATGCACATGACAAAATTACAAAAACATGAACTAAATTAAAATGAAAACAGAACGTATAAATGTAAAAGCCAATTCAAAGTGGCAATAATTTTTGTAATAGTATATAAACAATGAATAACACTTATAAAAACATTTATATTTGTTGTTCTTAGCCATTAAAAAGTAATCATTTGTGCCTCAGTCATCATTCTTGATTAACACTGAAATTTTTCAAATAGTATAAATGAATCTGTATAAAATATTATATAAATGACTTTATTTGTTGGTCTTGCCATTAAAAAGTAACAAAAAAAAAAAAAAATGCACAGTCATTATTACGGTTTTTCACTTAAATTACATGCCTGGTCCCCCCCCCCAGAAAGAGGCGACCTTTCCACACCCATGACAACACATTCTTCCTTACCAGCTAATTCACTCAAATATGCGGTTTAATTAGCCCTCTCAGTGGTGAGGTGAAATTAGTGACAATAGCACAGCACTATAGAAGCCTGACACCACAGGACAGTTGCCCCGGTCCTGCGAGATGAGGAGATTTATGCATCACAGCACACATCCACAGGGGAGTGCAGGTCAAACTATTGAGTTTCTGTACAGTGAATATCAAAGAATTACAAATTCCTTTAGAAATGAATATATCCACTGGGTCTCTTGGATGCACATCAATTAAACACAAAGGGAACCCACGGGAAAGAAGGGGGGCATTTGACTCAACAGGGGGATCTGAAGAGCTTCTGTCAGCAGAAGAGTGAGGGCTTGAATCTAGTCTGCCCCAGATTTACTGTAGCACAGCAACGCAAATTTATAGAGGTGTGTATCAAATAAAAGATCTCAAGAGGTGTGGCACGATTAAATGGTGTTCAGGCTGATTGAAGTCAAAATAACAGTGTTTTAAGTCTGAACTTCACTAAATGAAACTTTAAAGGAATAGTACTAGAAATGTACTCACTCTCAGGCCATCCAAGATGTATAAGAGTTCATTTCCTCATTGGAACAGATTCTTTGAAATTTAGTATTACATTACTTTCACACCAATGGATCCTCTGGGTGCCGTCAGAATGAGAATCCAAACAGCTGATAAAAACATCACAATACAACATCACAAAAGTCTTATGAAGAAACAGCGGTGTGTCTGTAATAAACAAACCTCAAAGACTAACTTAAAATCCTCTATCCACAATATTTCTTTCTCCAGTAAAAGAAATATGCCCAAATTCCAAACTAATATGTCAGTGGATTTTGATGTGAAAGTACAACAGAGGATGGACTTTTAGAGTGGAGGAACAAACATTATTATAGAATATTGGCTTTAAAGTTAAAATGCCTTGACGGATTTGTTTCTTACAAACACGCAACTTTTCGCTTCACAAGATGCTGTTTGATGGACTGGAGTCGTGTGGAATACTTGTGGATTATTGTGATGTTTTTATCAGCTGTTTGGACCCATTCTGACGGCACCCATTCACTACAGAGGATCCACTAGTGAGCAAGTGATGTAATGCTAAATTTCAGGTAAACTTTAGCTAAACAAATTTTCATTTTTGGAGGAACTTTAACTGTGGAGGAGAGAGCTTAAAAAAAAATCGATATAAAGGGTAAACTTTATAGACTGAATCAAACAGGTTATAGATCCATCTGACAAAAGAGACACTTACAAAAGCCACTATCTTGTGACAAAAAAAGGCACCATCAAGGACATCGTCAGCCAAATTTTTAAAAGACATGCGGTCAAGATCATGTGACCTGGGTTGTCTGCTTTCCATGTAATTTTTTAAGGTCAACCACACATGAAATTCAAAGCAAGTCACTAAAAAGGGCATCGCACACTAAAGCAAAATACGGTTCCAATATATAGTTAAATCAGTTCAAATGCAGTTAAATCACCCTCTGCCTAAATGCTGTTGTTTCAACATTATGGTAGGCCAAGGGTCATTCTAAAAATTTTTTGAGTTTGTCATACAAAATGCAGAAGTTATGAATGCAGTGCACATTTTTGCTTATAAAAGCTGATGGCAAGTATGTAACATCATAATGACTTCATTATCATTTGATTTGATGAAAAACCACCAGTGATCATTTCTCATAAAAGATTAATTTTATGATAGTAGCAAATAATTGTTTAAAAATTAGTAAAAAATAGACAAACCATTTGTTATTCCTTTGTCCCCAAATCCAGGTGTGAAAAACTTGTTGCATCTTTCCCAAAAAGACTCATGGCTGTATTAGATCAAAAGGGTGCTTCTACTAAATACTGAGCATATTTCAGTTTTTCTTTTTTAATAAATCTGCAAAAATGTCAACAATTCTGTGTTTTTCTGTCAATATGGGGTGCTGTGTGTACATTAATGAGGAAAAAAATGAACTTAAATGATTTTAGTAAATGGCTGCAATATAACAAAGAGTGAAAAATTTAAGGGGGTCTGAATACTTTCCGTACCCACTGTATATTCCAAAACCACTCATATAATGCAGAAACACTCAAGCAAGCAAAACACGCGCAATGCGAGCACGTATTTGTACTGATGCAGAATAGTACAGCCTAGCATTTCACACAGGCTGCTAGTTTCACTTTCACCAGAAAGTCGTGTATGCCTAAGGTTGAAAATAAATTATGTTTATAGTGAATGCCCCTATGAATCGTCTTATTTTTACGATTTTGTTTTAATCCAAATAATGCGTGTGCTCAGTGAGCGAACATCAAAGATCACGCAACAGAACTACGCGCTCTCTCTCTCTCTCTCTCCCTACCATTAAGTAACATGTGCATTGTTTTACTTACTTGTTTTTTACATATCCGACCGAACTACAAACTTTCCAGTGATGTCTGTGAGAAAGATATGTTCACTCGACAAGCTTGCGCATCTGCGCCGCCGTGCACTCAATCCACTCCGCGTGCGTTGTTTATCAGCTCGCGGACATCAGCTATACAGGCGTTAATACTGAATGTTTAACATTATATTCATTGCATACATATACTTCGTAGTAGACATCCTTAACTCCTTTCTGCTGTCTGTTGTCGGTGTTTATTTGTTTGAATATGGCGCTTATCACATGCTGTGTGGTATCGGCGTTTGGTATCAGGGCATTTTAACCAGTAGGAGTACAGGAGACCGGTATCGGGCCCGATACCGATACCAGTATCGGTGCATCCCTAGTAAATACTAGGTTATGATGTCTTTTATGTGGTCTTTCTCACATCTGAAACTAGTCAAGGGGCACGTTTGTCAGTCTATACTGACAATGACCCATAAGCAAGAGGAGGCAGGAATGACTGTGGGAACATTCTTTTTAAGGGTCACACCCTGAACAGATTCCCACACAACTTACTTCAATGTACACTTTACTTCTAAGGGATGTCACAAATTATAAGCGTGCTCTGTGCATTTTTGTGAGGTGCTATAATAGCACATATGTCAAGCATGCGCATGAAGTATAAAATTGCAACCGTCACAAATTTACTTGTCATGCATGTCAGAAGTAGCGTGAGCACTTGGAGTATGTCAGAAATAGAACAGGACATCAGTTTACTTTTGGGGTTTTGCCGCACCTCATCCAAAATCACTGATTATAATGGATTCTCTTTTGTTGCATCGCATCATTCGCATCTAGTGTCAACACAGTGTTAGCTGAAAGCTCAAACCTTTTGCCTCAAATGTCATTAATGGTCACACATTTCTGCTCTTTGCTAAATAACATATTGTTTCAAGCAATCTTTGTCTCAACCTTGATTTGGCAGTTATTAAGAGCACTGACTCATCTAATTATGCAAACTTTTTTTAAAAAAGGAAAAATTACACAAATCCCCTGTTAAATGGAGTTAAATCTGACAAATTGCCTTATGGGATATAAAAAAAACTGAAAGGGTGAGGTTACTCGGATGAGAAACCAATGACATAAGAGAAAGGTTTCAAAGGAAATCCTCGCAATTTGCATTACTGCAAACCAATAGGTTCTGAATTATGTAAGTACCATAATGATGATTTATTGAAAGGATCAACCTCAATCAGAGGCCAATAGGTGCAATTCATAGGTTGTTATTAAATACAACTTTAGAAACTACAACTACAGAAAATCTTAAAAGGAATCACCATTTACTCACCTTCACGATGTTCCAACCCAGTGTAAATTTTTCTTCTGTGGAAAAACAAAATATATTTTGAGAAATGTCCACAAGTTGTCCACAAAACTGTTTGGTTACCAACATTCTTCAAAATATCATCTTTTATATTCCACAGAAGTAAATAAGCCATACAGGTTTGGAATAACATGAGGGTAAAAAAAAAGGCAGAATTTTACTGTTATGCGAATTCACTGCTGCCAAACTAGAAAAAATAAATCAACTACAAAGAAAAACCCCCCCAACCACAAAGATTCTTATTTAAATCAACAGCCTGTACACGCTCATTCTGTAAATGATAAGAAAAGCCTTACAATGCAAATGTTTGCTCAAGAAAAATGGAAAGAGACCAAAAGAGAGAACAGAGAAACAGAATTGGTTTGAAAAAGACTGAAACAGCATAAGCGTGAACAAGAGTGATGCCCTTTTTTCTCTCTCGCTTCACGGGACTAAATCCCATTTTGTGAGTGATCAGATGACTGAGAAAAACTTCAATACCCTCTTGTTTTCCAGTGGCGTGTTAAGGTTTTGTGACTGTCAGCCTGCTGGTTTGTTAACATGCTCTCTCAGCATCACCATTTAATTACATGGTTCTCACTTACACACAGTGAGACTTACAGTTAAGCTCTGAGAAATCAATACAGTTAATTGGCAATTTCTTAATCCACTTCTTGGCATGATTGGATTGTGAAGAGCAACTTGTGCTGACAAATGCTGATTCAAACTAACACAAAAGCAAGAGCAAAACAAATGAAGGCTGGAATTAACCTAGAAACTTTTACTAGCCCACATCACCTACTTTTACACTTTACAGTTGCGAAATCACTAACGGAAACCATGCACCAATTACCAAACCCACTCATGATAATTAATGAGGCACAAACAATAAATGTCCAGGTTGCATCACAGGAGCTTCACCCTTTGTCACCTCTTCGATCACATTATTACTAACCTTGACATACCTCTCAAAGATAATCAAAACAAGTATACCTGCATTTAATCAACTAAGATAAGAATGTTTCATATTTAAACTATCGTATCATCATACCGGATACATAAAAGAAAAACAATCGTCTCACTGCTTTTAATGGAGACACCATATACTTGATTCTGTGTTGCGTTTAGCTTAATCTAACATGACACTTGAACGTAATCTTGTATTATTATCCCTTAATTAAGGGATGAAACGCATCAAGCACGTGGGCAGCCTGTAAAAGAGAGTTGAACTGGCTGTCACTGGAAGTTAATATAAGACGAGAAAATACATCTCAAACCAGACAGATTGAAAGCACGTGGTCTTTAAAAAAAAGAGCCTGTGTTTCAACATCTCTATGGCCATGGCCCATCAGGCAGATCAATAGTGCAGAACGCCACCCATATTTCAAAATCGTGTCTTATAAACACACATAAACCAAACACGAAAACTGTAAATGATCGTCCTGTACATTTGATATGAAATACACAGTATTTCTACATTGTCTACATTTCTACCTTAAAATCGAAATGATTTTCTCGATTAAATATTCACCCGTTTTTTTTTTTTTAACAAATTCATCATACGTTCACATGATGACACAGGACAACACGACATGCGTCGATTGCGTCTTCCATAATTTAATATCTGCACTTAAACTATAAGTGGCATGAATCAATAAATGTATTTCTGGTCAGAAATGCACACAGGAAGTGATTTCACTCCTGGGAATAGAAGCAGGTGAGAGGCAGACCTGAACAGATTGGAGAAATAACATGAACAAGTACTAGACAGTGTTGACTTCTCTTCTTCCTGCTTATTTAAGAGCTCATGTCTTGAATCAGTAGCTAATCTATGGTGCTAATTGAGGGATGTAGGTTAGTGGGTCTATGGGCCTCACTCAGATTTTACATGGTTTAATACTTTGGTCTTTTACCTGACATTTCAGGGAATCACACAGAAGCTGTGATAGAAATCAGAGATGGAAGATGTTATGGGAAACGTGAAGATGAACCACAACCAATAGAAATGATACATGAGAGTAAGGTGAAGAGTACAGAGATTAGAAAAGATTATATTCCCTAGTCAGACACCCAAAGTAAACAAAATGGAGACGTGTCTCCAGCATGAACCAGATCACACACACAGACTTCCATAAACATAGCAAATGGGGATAAGCATTTCTGTAAGGACATGATATTCTATGTAAACACATTCACAGTCATACCCACGGATATTTAGTTTCAGATCACTGTGTTAAGGTGCAACTTGTTTTCCCTTTTCCTGTTTGCTTGGGTGCAGTTTGTATTTTTGTCATATATGGGATTTAATTGTCTTATAATAACTGGCACCTTTCTGATCTCTATTCACACCCCCCCCCCCCCCCCCCCCCCCCCCCCATTTAAAAGGGGCCCT